CTCCAGCACCTCTTTTGACGTTCTTCCCGGAACCAAGTGCTTGTTATATCATATTCCTTTGTTCATTTTTCGATGAAATAACTTTGGACCGGTCGACAGTTGATGAACTTGACACCCCAATTATATGATTTTGTTCGATGTCACAATATCGCGTTGACGCGAACATAGGACACAGTACTGTATGGAGAAGATGCACATGACATGTCGTCTATATAGAGTGTGCATGAAGCATTCTTGAGACAGAATATGAGTGCATATTATATATATATTATGTATATATGCAACCACATGAAGCAGTGACCCCCTTCCAGGACCAGTGGCGAGGAGCAGCTCTCAGACAGCAGATATGTTTCTTGTTCCCAAATCTAGTGGTTCTAACTTTGAGATTTGAGGCATCGATTACTGAACGTCTGCCAGACTTGGTGTCATCCTCAACTTAGTAGCTTCAAGTGTCTTTCCGTCGAAGGCCACCATAGCAGAACTCCGCATTGCCTTGGATGAGCTACGCCAAAGCAAGCAGCGATTGGATCGACAGGCAGAAGCCTTAGATTGGATCTGGGAGTGAGACTCATGAGATCTGGGGAGTTTTCGCAGAATCGCTGGGATCGGACATGCATTGGATCAAAACCACGTCGATTTTTTGGGACATTGGCATTCCGAATCAAGGCCTCCATGCCTGCCATGCCCTTTCCGGAGCAGGTGACTCTGGGCCACTTCATGTCAATGCGGAGGGACACCAGACTCACGACCAACGAAATTGACTGGGGAACAAGAAGCTACTAGGAACAAGTGCATCGCTTCTAGTAACAAGTGCCTTACTAGTAGTAACAAGAAGCTACTATATAGTAACAGTAAATTAGAATGTGCTTGCAAGATCCAACTGGCCGACGATTCCGGGGACATGAAGCCATGAAAAAGCTTTCCAGGCCTCCATGCCGATGCCTTTTGCGATGGAGCAGGCCGAGTTTCGTTTGGACGAACAGGAGGTTGTTTGTTGATGTTTTTCGTCCGATCATTGTCAAGAAACCTCGCTTCTTGTGCGTTTGGTGACTACAGGAGACCACTTCGTTGCCAAGGCGGGTGGAGAAGTAAGTCCCTAAGGCACAAAGTCACAAAGTGGAGTGATTGATTAGAATTATATAGAGATCTTTCAGAATTGCAGAAATCTCTAGCCCATTGCACGTGTGAAAGAGCGATCTCTGAGCCTCGTGCTTTGGAATTGCTGAGGGCCTTCCGCAAGCAGAGCCCGTTGTGGGAGGACAGCCTTCACACAGTCGCCTGGGATGGAACCTGGATATTGCTTCTGAGGCAGGGGAAAGGATTGAAAGGACTCCAACAAGAATATGGTCGTTTGTATCACAGCAGTAGGGATCGTAGCGTATGTTACGAAAGCCAGCCTTCGTAGAAGGCGCCAGCTGAGTTGTGCTTGGCGAACGAAGTGAGTAGGTAAGGGGGTCTGGGGGGGGTGGCCCGCAAAAGGTACACGTGAACTCGGCACATGCTGGGCGAGGAGGGTGCAGCGACGGAAGGTTTTTGAGGTTGGTTTGGAGGTGGTTCTTTGATTGTGAGCGGGTGGTGATGCAAGAAATGCGATTTGCATCATTTGCATCATCTGAATGGTACGGTGTCGTTGTACAGAGGCCGATGTGTTATAGCTTCGTGCAGCTGTGAGTGAATAACATCTTTCAGAAGGAGAGCAATTATAAACGCTATATGCATTTTTACTATGGAAGTGTTTACCATGCAACTGAATTGTAGTTACCTGGGGTCCCCATAAATGCTACTGTGTTATGCTTCCGACATACCCAAGTTTAGAGCACTAATGAGACTGGAGAGGAAAAAGTGCAACATCATTGGAGCACTGGATCATAGGATGTTTGATCGCAAGCCCGCCTTTCTGCGTAACCTGGCATTTTGTGTAAAGAGACACAGAGAGCAGCGGTAGCTCCCCAGGGCGCGGAGAATAGAGGTATAGACAGCGGTGCAGAGGTATAGCGCAATAGCATTTAGACGGACCCTGGGTAGCTACAGTTTAGAGGATATGGTTGGAGGCCTCGGGTGATGCCTGTACATGGCCAAGAGGCTGCGCCTAAAAAGATCTTGTCGCTACAACAAGGTCGATGTTGGGTCCGCGCGCGCGAATGTTTACCAAGCTAAATGCAAGGTGGCCTGGGGCCAGGGGTTTGCTGCCCTAAAGCACCATGTTCAGGCCACCTCAAAAATGAAGATATGTGAAGCGAGGGTCCTTGGGTGTATATCTGACAAGGCTTCAAGGCTTCCAGATTCGATCGCCTGAGGAAGTGCATTCGTTTAAGTAGAAGGGTTTTCGTGCAAACTTCGAGGTGGCCTGGGACCAGGGGTTTGCTGCCCTCAAGCACTATGTTCAGGCCACCTCAAAGCTGAGTTGCGCTTGGCGAACGAAGTGAGTAGGTTGGGCGTCTGAGGGGGGTGGCCCGAGAAAGATATACGTAAACTCTGGGAGGTGATGCTCTGATGCTTTTGGAGCGGGTGGTGACGCAAGATTGCATTTTTGGCTTTTGCATCATCTGAATGTGGATGGGAATTATCTATGTGTGGCCAGAAAAAGACATTAAACAGAATGTTTTTTCAAACGAAATTCAAGGTGGCCTGGGGCCAGGGGTTTGCTGCCCTAAAACCATTGTTCAGGCCACTTCAAAAATGAAGAACAGATTCAAACAAGGATACCTGGATAAGGCCGCTCCTAAAAAGACCCACTACAACAAGGTCGATGGGGGGGCGCGCGCGCGAATGTTTATCAAGCTAAACGCAAGTCCCTGTTGGGTCCGCGCGCGTGAATGTTTATGAAGCTAAATGCAAGGTGGCCTGGGACCAGGGGTTTGCTGCCCTAAAACACTCTGTTCAGGCCACCTCAATGTGAAGCGAGGATCTTTGGGTGTATATCTGACGAGGCGTCAAGGCTTCCAGATCGATCACCTGAGGAAGTGCATTCGTTTCAGTAGAGGGGTCTTCGAGCAAACTTCGAGGTGGCCTGGGACCTGGGGTTTGCCGCCCTCAAACACTATGTTCAGGCCACCTCAAAGCTGAGCTGTGCTTGGCGAACGAAGTGAGTAGGTAGGGGGTCTGGGGGGGTGGCCCGAGAAAGGTATACGTAAACTCTTGGAGGTGATGTTTTAGTGATTTTGGAGCGAGTGGTGACGCAAGAATGCATTTTTTGCTTTTGCATGGTTACCTATGTGTGGGCAGAACAAGACATTAAACAGAATGTTTTTGTCCAGCCAAATTCAAGGTGGCCTGGGGCCAGGCCTAAAACCATTGTTCAGGCCACCTCAAACATGAAGAGCGGATTCAAACAAGGATACCGACCGCGCGCTTCGAGATTCGAACATTATGTGCAGACGCCCCGCGTTGTTTTGGCTCACGGCGTCCCTCTTGCCGCTTGCGCAGCAACAGGCCGGTTGGAGCAACTGGCTTCTCTAGGGGAGTGGGACTGTTTACGACAGCTTCCAATCCGTCAATTTAAGGATGGTCAGTGGGGGGTTTCGATCAGGGCGAGTATACAAGACCATGACGGTCTTCCCGAGGAACAGCCTCATGCGCCACGGTGTGTTTGTTCTCGGGGCGATGAGCGAAGATAGCGACGGCGAGGATGAGTGCAGGGGTTGAATGAGTGAGGAGGTTTACCACTTACCTTGGACGATGGAGGATTTGGACTGAGGAGACCTCTACTTCCCTAAACGATACGATTGTGAACCTGAAAGGCCAAAGTTTTGATTACGCGAACTTGCATATTGTTTGCGCGTCTGTTTGCATGTCTTCAACACGAGATCTTGCAGAACAAACGTGAAGCCTCCAGCTGGAAGGCGGGGAGGCTTTCTCAGAACCCTCCAGCGATGTCTTCAGGTGAAGAGGCTCACCTTCTATCGCAAGGGCCCCGTCGGCTTGAAACTGTGTTGGAACAAATGTGTTGGTCTATTTAGCGCACTTCCGGACACCTACTCGCAGGCGACGCTGACTCCAGCCGTCGCCGTTGCGGTGCAGTGACACCTTGTGACACCGTGACACCGTGACAGACACGACCCATGCTGACGGTCGACCGGATGCCCTTGGCCGCCGTACCGGTGGGTGTCATCGTGGGTGTTGTGAGTTTCGCGGTGCCCTTGGCAATGGGTTCATTGAGGTTCCTTCGGCCTACTTTGGACCGGTCTCCTCCGCGAATGGTGCCCACACTATCTAATGGGTCTATAGACTAAACCTCCGAGCCCCCTTCACGGACGACACATGTTCACTCCTACTTCACACCGCTCTCCACATGTGTTTGTCGCTCCCTTCGCGCGTCTCTGCGCGTGATTTTTTTCAGGCCGCGCAGAACTGGCTCTTCTCTGATTGATTCGAAGCCTTGTACAGCCCGGAAACAGACAGCCACGTGGACTCTGCAGTGGTCGTGCTTGTGCCGTGTTCCATCATGTCATTTTCCGTGCAACAGCCCGACCACCAACTTGCAGCAAACCGATCGCTGTGACCCCTCATAGGGACTTCTAAGCAGTATTGATGGAAAGGCCTGTAGCCTTGCCCGACCATCCAGAAGCAATGCCGCTCTTGCAGCAGAGAACAGATGTTCCATCATAATACATGACGTTATATTCTAACTTCTTGTTGCTTCTACTGGATTTTCACCCACTGGAACATGACCATAACCTTTTCTGTTTTCAAAGCTGGGCTGTTTGCGGCTTGCTTCTGTGTAAAGAAACCAGTGCACGCGAGGATGGATCCGTGGGTATGTGGCTCCATACCCCAACACTCCATGTATGCCACATATGCCTACATTGGGGTCGTTGGCATCACTGCGACGTCGGATTCATACCCAGATCCCCCTTGGACCTGTTGCTTTGGTGGATTACCGCCGCCGCTACTCGCTCGTCGTGGGCTCTCCCACTCACCTGTATCGGCTCTTGCTCTCCGGCCACACTTGAGCCAAAGACACCGGTGCATTTCATTTTCTCTTTAGCTCATCCCAAGGTTCAAGCATTGCCTCGGAACAACCATTTTAACACCGGTTTCTTTTTTCAGCTCCCTTGGCCTGGAAGACTGCCTTCGATACCTGAAAGGTACCTATCTGAACCCCTAACGCGAAGTTGTCGGGAAAGGGAAGCGCTGGCTTTCTTTTTGCAGCTTTTCAGGTTAAATACACTCCCCATGCCCTATCTTACTGGGTCAAAACACTACCATCCAGTCATTGTCCCTGAATCCTTTTTCGCTCTGGAACCTGATGCCGCTATTTGCGCATGTTTGCGCAGCTGACCAAAGAGTTCTCTTTCGGGTGAAGTTCAGGAGCCAATCCATGCACCACCAAGCCTGCTGAGGCCCTGTTTGTTCGCACGATTCGCATCAGGTCAAACCTGTCTTGAAGCAAATCGAAGACTCAATGTATTTCTGTGCAATTACGGTGTTCGGATGGAAATCGCTTTCAAGCGCTTCAAACAACTTGTATGCTTTGCATGATTTGCTCATGATCCTTGCTCTGTCGCATCAAGGAGTCCTCCGGCAGCTCCCCCAGCGGCGTGCTCAGCTGGATGGTGGGTCTGGGATGAAAGGTAGGCACATGGGTCAACGCGTGTGCAGTAAACGTTGATGTGCTCTCTTCCTCCCGAGCTTTTGGCTTAATAAGGAATGCAGTAGCCAAAGCGACTGGGACCTTGTGAGATATTCAATGGATATGGAAGCTGCTTCAACATTGAGCTTAACTTAAATACACAAGAGTCACAAGACGCTATTCCTCAAGATTGACGAGTCATGAGTGGCATTAGAAGCCGCAAACCGGTGCTCGAAGCCTTCAAGCTTTGGAAGCTGGCCGCAGCCATGTTGCTTCTCATCGCACTGATAGCCGTTGAAATAGCCAGAGCTGACAGAACTGATTGTGCCCAAGTTGCGCTAGCACAGCGCCGGTAGATGAAGTGCGGCGCCACTACAACCACTTCCCTTTGTGCGCGTGCAAACACACACACACATACACACACATGCGAGGCAGCCTTTTGGGGTCCTGGACAATTCTTATATTGCAAGCTTGTTGCCATCCCCTTCCCGATGGACAAGGAAAGCAAGGTCCCTCGAGTACAATTCTATCAGTAGCATCCGATGATGGGGAGGTAACGATGTAAGACCAAAGCACCAGCTCTCAGCTCAGGTGCCCACGGGCCTCCTGGCATGGTGATAATACTTTTGTGGGCATTTGTAAACTGAAAGCTGAAGAGGGCGACAGCCATGTGTTTTTGATCGTTTTTCCTCACATTTGGTAGTGCAGATTCATGTCCCAATTGATAATTGGGCAGTAGCAGTTTTCCTGGCTTGCGCGAGGCACCCTGATGCTGAGCTTGGAAATTGCATGTGTGATGATGGGTGGAAGACTGCAGGCATCACTGATACCCTTCATTTCCTGCAAGGCCATACTGACACGATTACCTTGTGCAAACCAGCCTAGTACGTTCAAAAACTCATGAAATGCATCGCGGTACTCAGCTGTAATTGTATTTCATCCCGCTCCTTTTGCAAGCATGAAAGCAAGTTCCTCAATTTTCCTCACACAAGTGTCCTTTTTTTCTACCCAGGGAGCTGCTCGCAGTACAGCTGCATCAGTGACGATGAATGTGCTCCTTGGAGATGGATCGACACTGTCGAAGTCAAGATTGCATGAATTTTGGTCAAGGGAGGAACACTCAGAAATTTAAGTATATGTTATGATATATAGTAATTATCAGTATGTTTATATATATATAATTGTATATTTGCCAATGCCGGTGACACTGACTTGACGATAGCAAAGCGTCAGATTGCTCTCTTGCGTGGCAAAGAACTGAGGCCAAAAGACTGGCCATCAGCGATGCAAGCTGCATGATTCCAGGCCTGGGAACAGCCTTGAAGATCCTTGTAGGTCTTTTTTTCAGGAATTTTTGATCTTTCCACATTTTGACCGCTTGGGCTTCTGCGAAAGGCTCACGAATGTCAAGGAGGTGAACACACGTTGACAAACCAGCCAACGACGGCTTGGAACTGTGCAGGTTGGAACTGCTACTGCGGCTGGGACTATGCCTTCAGGAATAGCCTCACTGGATACGAAACCAACACCACTTCCTCGGCAAAATGCATGGGCACCTTTGGCCAGGAAAGGGTTAGTCAGAATCGAGTAGATGCAGTCTGCAGCACGACAGTGCTGCCGAGAGTGCTACTCGTAGTATTTGATCTAGTCTGAAGAGTGTTTAAGTTGTATCTTGTGCCACAGAATGTCACAACTAGCTGGACACCCGGAGGTTGATGCTGGATAAGATTGCGCTACTGTAGTGTTTGATGGACTTGCGATGCAGTGTGGGCAGTTCTGTGTTTTGCGTGAATTGAGACCTGCATTTGAGAGGTATTGGACAGTGTTGATGTTGACCGTTTGTGTTCTGTAAGTTTTGTAGGAAGGCACTCGCCAAAGAATGCTTGGGAAAAGTGGATCTAGTTGCGTGGAAATCGAGCCATTGGGTATCCAGGCATCCTAGATGCTCCTTGCATTGCCTTCAACCAAAAGATAGGGTTGACGGTTAGCAACGAAGTCTAGTTTATTCAGCATCAGCAGTTCCCTCTACCAAGATGAAGTCCTTTGTGCATTTGGAATCATTTATATAATATCACACCAATATTCAAAATGCGAGTTGCTCGAAAAAGCATCCAGAAGACGAGACGCAGTGCATGGCATTCCGAGGTGTGGTGTATACCTTTTCCATGTGGGCTTCCAGGCTCATTGAGTTTCTGAGCCTCGGCTACAATGTGTTGCATTTGGCAAACTCTGGAGTTTCTGATGCCGCCAGATAAGATAATTCAATAATGAATGATCTCCTACATGAGCGCCACGTATCAATCTGATATATATATATATAGGCCGTACAAGGAAGGGTGTTGAAGCTTTGTTGGTTGCAAAAGCCAAGGTTAGCACACCTCTATCGTATTTTTTTGCCTTTGGCCGTATTGCTCTTACCCTTCGGCAAAAAGCGAGCGATTTGCGATCACCACCGGCTCCTCGGACAAAAGCAGTTCTCTGATGTTCTCTGTTCTTTTCTTAAAGGGCATTTGAAACCAAGCGAATAAGAGACTGAGCCAAGTGAATAAGCGGTTCTTTGATCCAAAACCAAGAGGAACGCCTAAAAGACTGAGTCAAAGCCGAACGGTTTTGTTTCGTTCCGTTGGAATTCATGAAGAAGTCCGAGCCCAACATGGACATCGGTGACATCGTGTAACCATGTTGTCAACAAGTCATTAAAAAACCGTCAACTGACATGACGTGAACAGGCCTGGACTTTGGAACCTCTTCCGGCGATTGATCGGCGTGTGCCTTGGCGAGAAGGAAGCGTGCCTTGAGACTTCGGTGTTCTCCGCTCAGACGGCCAAGGGATCACAGCGTTCAAAAGCAAATAGAGACAATATACTAACAAGTTATTAATAGCAATGGCCTCCAACCTCTTGCGTCAACCTAATAGCGATGGCCTCCAACCTAATAGAGACAGTATACTGATCAAAGCAGATAGAGAACTTCTGACACTTGTGACCGTTTGGTCAACTTTGTTGCTGGATGCGGAGATGGGTTTGGCATCCTTCATGTGGCAATATTTAGCTGCACCGCATTTCCACCAGCAGCAAAGGCCTAGTATGTGCCGGGGAGATTGCGTGCTGCTCCAAGAATACAATGGAGATGCGTTTATGGATGACTTGGCCACTTGGAGTTTGGCACTTTTATCGGTAGTGAGTCCTGAATGGAAGGGCTTGCCATGACTCCCGTCAGCCGCAGGAGTATACAAGCCTCTCCAAGGGTACCTCCTGTTCCCAGCTTTGAAGAACGCATTTCAAAGCTTTGCTTGTTGCCTAAGAGCAATTGGGATGGCGGCTTGGCCCAGGCATGGAGTATCTACATGCTGGAGCTCATGTGTTGGGCATACCTCTTCAGTGTGTTTTGCCAGCAAGCCGGACCAACTCGGGTTAGAGGCTGTTGGACCTCCAAGCATTCAACTGACTGTGCAAACAGTCCAGATGTGCTTCCTTGCAAGGAAGGAAAGTTACAGTTGAAGTACTGTAGATTGAAGAGGATTGAAGTAGCGTGCCCTGAAACTCAGACAAGTTGATTGCAAACTTGCTTGGCTGCTCTGAAGGTGGTTGTCTACCTTCTCGTGCTGTTCATTTGGTCTGTTGTTCTGTGGCAGCTTGCCTGGACAGTCAGTCGTGGTGTTTTTCTATTGTATATGAGAGGCACCGAGATTCCTAGTAGATTCACTAGATGTTGTCAGCAAAGGATCTCGGTGCTTTTTGTCTTTGGGGCAGCTGCCTTCTGTGGCATTTGCGCTTGTTGTGCAGAGGGCTTGGCCGGCTGTGCGGATGGCTGCGCCGGTGGGGAGAACAGAGCCCATCTCTGGTGGACACGGACTGTGTGGTGTTCATTTGTGTGACTCCACCGAGTGAGTGGGATGTATATCAGAATATTTCAGAGGTCTTTGAGTTGTTTGCTTTGATTCCCTGCTGTTGGAATGCACAGTTTGAGAGTAAGGTTAGGAGATGCTTTGTGCAGCATCCCATCACTATCCCTCCAGGTGGCTGTGAATGTGGAGGTGGTCAATGTTGCGAATGCTTGTGGGTCGGCCACGCCTTTCATCATGGACCTGTGGAGGCGAATCACAACACCAAAGGTGAGAAAGGTAAACCTCCGTGGTTGCGAAGTTTAGTGAACAGATACTCTAAAGAACGGATACTCTAATAAATGAGCGAAGTATCCGTATTGACAGTTTGGAGTCTCCGTTCAACTTTTTTTAGTGACTTCTCTTGGTTGAGCATCAATCTTAACAGCAGCCTACTTGTGTCAGAGAGAAGTCTTCCCATCGTTTTGGATTGACAATGCCTGGACATCTCTCTCGAAAAGAGAACCGTACAATTGTGTGGTTGGACAACTGTTCTATTAATCAAGCTGCAAAAAGCTGTTTTGTGCAACTTTGCCTGGGGTTTTTGTAAACTTGCGTAACATTGTGAATCAACCACTTACACAGTCTCTGGGGCCCTTCGACGAGACGAGTGCCTTCCCAGGCAGAGATGTTCTACTTTGGTGGCACCTTCCCTCACGATCCTTTCTGGGGTTTTAGTGGCTTCTCGGCTGATCAAAATGCGCAGATCAAATTTGGATCTTGGGTCTGTCGTGTGCGGCCAGGTGTTTCCGAAACCTTAGGGGTGTCCTCTCTTCAGATTGACACTCATGTCACTTCTTTTTTTCAAGCCAAGAGGTGCTCCTTTCTGTCCTCTTTTTCCCAGGATTTACATCCCCGCAGACCGCTGATGGCGACGATTGCTGTTGCTGCTGCTGCAGATTTCGACACTTATGTCTTCCAATTGCGTCCGTGGTCTATGTTTTTCCGGTCTGGCACCCAATGAGAATCATCCGTTCTGTTGAGAATCATAGGATTGTATCGATGAGGTGCTTCCGGAGAATGCCTGGGGTGGAGTGCTGGGGTAGCTTGGAGTACCGCATAGTACAGGATTGAGCTCGA